CAATGTATTGTTGGCTATTGCTACAAATATACCCCAGCGACTTAACACTGCTTTTGTGCTCCAGGGTCACAAATATTTAGTAAAATATTTATTTAATAAAAAAAATAGCACAGTGCATTTCTTCAAGTAAACTTAAACTTCTGTACCTTTTTTACACTTTCATTTGTTGAAATGCTTTCACTTGAGCAATAATATGTCGGTTGCATGAACTTCCTACACTAGTCTTAAAAAGTTAGTCATCTGTTTGTTTGTTTTTTTCTTCAAGACTGGTCATAACTTTTTCAATTCAGTTACAGAAAGATAGATTGCTCTAATTTGAATCTGAAAAGTAAGACTGATTACCCAGTGACAGTTAAGAGGTTCAATTATTGTTTAATGAACATGTTTCATTTGGTTTGTTCCACATTCTGCATAATTGAAATGGAACAGTGTTGTTTTTCATGCCGCTGATGTGAAGTTGAGCGTTTCGGCTGATGGTGAGGAGAGAGTGAGGAGAGATCGGCCTGCAGGTGTCTGGTTGACACGTAACAGGCGTGCAGGTGTCAGAAACACTGTGAGCGTGATGAATCCACCAAAACACATCCAGTGAATGTCAATCACACAGCTTTTCCCAGCTCCCCAGAGTCACCGATATCGATCTGATCCTCATGTCTCCTCTTACTACGCACAGCCTTCACCTGGAGTTTTCCCTGTTTGTCCAGCATTTGCATTTCCTAAAATAAGTAAAATTATCATATTAAAAATGAAATCCAAATTTATGGATTTAAAAAGCACCTTAAAAAAACACAGAGTGTACCAAAGTGCTGTACGATGACATAAAACACAATAAAATACAAAGAGAGAGATGATAAATATACAGCAAGAGCAAAATAAAATGCAATAAAAATAAACTAATATAAATAAATCTAATCCGATCCAATAGTCCTCACAAAGCAGCGAAGGCCTCATCAAACAAATATGTCTTAAGATGGGTTTTAAACATGTTTACAGAGGTAGACGATCTGATAGATATTGGTAGACCACTCCACAACTTAAAAATGAAATATCCTAAAGAAAATGTAAGCGGGCTTTGCGCATGTAAAGATTGCCAATATGATGCTAGGTTGTTCTGGGAGGATTTTAGCATGTTTTGTTGCAACGTATTAAATAATAATATATATAGTTATTTATTATTATTATTATTATGTTGCTATGTCATTATTGTTATGGTTAAATGGTTGATTTTTTTTGCATGTTTATATATTAAATTGTTAAATAATGATGTATATAGTGTATTATTATTATTATTGTTATTTACTGTTGAATTTTTACATGTTTATGTAATTAATTACATGTATATATAATTAATATGTTATGTATTAAATATTATTATTATATATTTTTTACCACGTTATGTGTTTGCTAAGGTTCTGGATTGATTTTTATGCAATATGCATTGTGAAAACCACTATTCAAATGAACTGGTTCAACTTAGCATCAAATAGTAAAAATACAATATTATATTAATAATTATATTATTAGTAATTATATTATTATTTTGTGTAGTAGTAATGATAATAATATATAAAATTATATGAGTGTCTATAAAATTATAATAGTAATTGTAATATAAAATTATATAATTGTGCATATATAATATTTTCAACAATATTTAAACATTTTTATAATAATAATTGTTATAATATAATATATATATTTATATTATGTATATATATATATTTTCTTTTTATGAAATATTTTTAAAAATATTTAATAAGT